TCGGAGTCCAGCTCAAAGATCCCGGCGGCATCAGTGGGCAGCAGTTCTCTGAGCAACAGGCGTTCTGTTTCTGCAAAAATGTTCATGTGGCGGCCGTTGTTTGAAAAAGAAGTTTTTTTTGATGAACGGTAAAGTAGAAAAAAATTGTGGGATGCTTTCTTTATTGGCATGAGATCGTCCTCTTTAAAGGCTGAATGATCGTCATAGAGAATCCTGATATTGTTATTCCGCAACCTTGAAAAACCATCCTAACTTTGTGCCATGCAACCAACAATCCAACTGGTAGAATGCCCGCGCGATGCGATGCAGGGCTGGTCTCATTTTATTCCTACCGCAGATAAGGTACGATACCTGAATGCCTTACTGGATGTGGGTTTTGATGTGCTCGACTTTGGTTCGTTTGTATCGGCCAAAGCCATTCCGCAACTGGCGGATACCAGGGAAGTGATTCCGCAACTGAAACTGAATGACCGTACCAAACTGCTGGCCATTGTAGCCAATACACGCGGTGCCGAAGAAGCCGTAGTCTATGACGAGATTAAATACATTGGCTTCCCGTTCTCTATTTCAGAAACATTTCAGCTAAGAAATACCAATAAGACGATTGCGCAGTCATTGACACAAGTAGAAGAAATGCAGCGCCTCTGCCTGCAGCGTAATAAAGAGATGGTTGTGTATATATCCATGGGTTTTGGTAATCCTTATGGAGATGAGTACAGTGCTGCCATTGCCATTGACTGGGTACAAAAGTTATCCGACCTGGGCATACGCACCATCGCGATGTCGGACACTGTTGGCGTGGCCGAACCGCAGAACATTGCTCCTATTTTTCAGCACCTGATACCGGCATTCCCGGAGGTAAGCATCGGTGCGCACTTTCATTCCGCGCCGCATAACTGGGAGGAAAAGATCCAGGCGGCTTACGATAATGGCTGCGTCCGTTTCGACAGTGCAATGAAGGGTATTGGCGGATGCCCGATGGCAAAAGATGACCTGGTTGGAAATATTGCTACAGAAAATATAGTTTACTGGTCTGAAGAAAAAAATATTCCTTTACAGTTAAATAAAGACGCATTCAGGGAAGCGATGATGATTGCGAACGAGATTTTCATTTAAGGGTCAACGCTTCTGCTGCATTCAATTATTGCAATATGTCCATACACAGCGAAATCAAACGTATTACCACCAATACACTTCTTTCTATGAAACAGAAAGGAGAAAAGATAAGCATGCTGACGGCTTATGATTTTTCAATGGCAGGCATCCTCGATGATGCGGGTATTGACGTATTACTGGTTGGCGACTCGGCCTCTAATGTAATGGCCGGCCATGAAACCACCTTACCCATTACGCTGGATCAGATGATCTACCATGCCCAGAGTGTGGTGCGCGGCGTAAAGCGTTGTCTGGTGGTGGTAGATCTTCCGTTTGGCTCATACCAGGGCAATAGCAAGGAAGCGCTGTATTCGGCCATCCGCATTATGAAGGAAGCCGGTGCGCATGCCATTAAGCTGGAGGGTGGTGAAGAAGTGCTGGAATCTGTTAAACGGATCATCAGCGCGGGTGTGCCGGTGATGGGACATCTGGGCCTGACGCCTCAATCAATCTATAAATTTGGCACCTATTCTGTTCGTGCAAAAGAGGAAGCAGAGGCTGATCAATTAATAAAAAATGCCTTGTTGCTGGAAGAAGCCGGTTGTTTTGCCCTGGTATTGGAAAAGATACCGGCTGCCTTAGGTGCCAAAGTTGCAGCGAGTATTAAGATCCCTGTTATCGGCATTGGCGCTGGTGGCGGCGTGGATGGTCAGGTGCTGGTGATGCATGATATGCTGGGCATCAATAAAGACTTTTCTCCGCGTTTCCTGCGCCGTTATGCTTCGTTATATGACATTATTAAAGAGGCAACCAGCAATTATATCAAGGATGTAAAAAGCGAGGACTTCCCGAACGAAAAAGAACAATACTGATAAAATGCAGCCTGCATTTTATTGACTGGTACTTATGGTAAACGTAGAAACATATCATCGGTTGCAGCAGCTATTTGCTGAACAGCAGGTAAGCCTGGTGGCC